TGTACTTAGCACAAGCTCTCACTAAATAGCAGCCACTGTAGTCTTTACCCTCCTGGTCACCATTATCGTAACAGCTGAGCTGAAGTCACAGGACAAGGAGCTGTACTACGGATAATGTATTTCAGTAGCATCTGAAAGGCCTGCAAGGGAATTTTTATTTTGTGCCAGTTTGTGCTTTTCTTACAGTAAAAATAAAAGAGTCTATTTAGATCATTTTCACAGCTTTGCCAAATGGCATCTGTACGCCGTTAACAGTATTATAGGTACATACTGAGCTACACCAGAAATTGACACAACATTGTAAACTGACTATACTTCAATAAAAATATATATATATGCACACACACATATGTACACACACACGCACACAAAAGTACATACTAAGCTTAATATTGTGTGCAAACACTCACTACAAAGCAAATTGGGCAGACATTATTTAAGGTTCTGAACCTTTGCTGTATGTTGCAGTTGGTATACCAGGCATAGAGGGGTCCCTTATATTAATTCTGTCTCTCAATTTAGAAGCCTGGAGTACATGAGTGGCTTATGACTTTTATGTCTGAAATATAGCCTTAGTCAGATGGGAATCCATGAGATTTTACATGTACCCTTTCTCTAACCAGAGAATCATACATAACTAAACATAGCGTTGATTATTATTAACTTAGAAAATTGTATGTTGCTAGGAATTTTAAATGTATTTACCTCCAATTTAATATCATATTATTCTTAGATTTTAAGATACAATGGTAATTGTGACCTGCTGTAACTTCCCAAGGTTAGGAATTAGAAGAGTAGAGGAGGCAAATTGCAAGACAGGAACAATATTTTGTATATCAGTAGTAGTCATCAGTGTCTGGCACACAGTACATGGTCAGTTAATCTTTGAGTGAAGGGATCAAAGAGCACCTGAAATTTGATTTAGAGTTTTACATACCATTTTAGAATATACCCCCCATATCTAAGACTCAGTTTTATGGTACCATAGATAGTATGGTGTAAAAATGGGGGAAAATAAAGGACATTGGAGAGGTTCAGTTTGGTCATTTCTGGTCATCTAGGTTCTGAGATCCTTGTGCCTCCCAGGTTTTAAGGGCATAAGTCATACTTACTAACATATCACAAGGCTATTATTTTGGGGGGAAAATAGCCTCTTTATATTGCTATTAAAGTATAAAAAATCAAATGTAAAATAATTTGTCGCTGTTAACGACTGGGAATTAAGTACAAAGCATACAGGTAGCTGTAAAGAACTCCTACAACTCAACAACACAAAAACAAACATCCCAATGAAAAAATGAGCAAAAGGACTTGAGTAAGCACTTCTCTAAAGATACACAGATGGCCAATAAATACATAAAAAGATGCTTAAAATCACTGTGTTGTTAGGGAAATGCAAATCAAAACCACACTGAGATACCACTCCCCACCCAGGGTGACTATTATTAAGCGCATATACCTACGGAGAGAGAGAAAAATGACCAGTGTTGGCAAGGATGTGGAGAAATGGGAACCCGTGTGCTGTGCTGGTGGGAATGTAAAATAGTGGGGCTGCTGTGGGAAGCAGTATGGTGGTTCCCCAAGCAGTCAAACGTAAAAGTACCATGTAATCTGCCAATTCCACTACTAGGCATATACCACAACGAATGAGAAGTAGGGATACAAACAGATACTTACACAACAATGTTTATAGGGCCATTAGTCACAATAGCCAAAAGGTAGAAAACCCCAAGTGTTCATTTGTGAATGAATGGATGAACAAAATGTGGTGTTTCAACCTTGAAAACGAAGAAGTCTTGACATGTGTTACAACATGGATGAATCTTGAAGACATTATGCCATGTGAAATAAGCCAGATACAAAAGAACAAATATTGTATGAGTCTCCGTATTTGACTTACTTAGGTACTCAAAGTCATAGAAACAGAAGGGAGAATGGTGGTTGCCAGGGGAAGAGAGTGGGGGACAGGGAGTTAAGGTATGGGTCCAGAGTTTCAGTTTCGGAAGATAAAAAGTTCTGAAGATTGATGGTGATGATGGTAGTGCAGCAATGTGAATATGTACTTAATGCCATAGTACTGTACACTTAAAAATTGTTAAAATGATAAATTTTACATTATGTGTATTTTACCACAGAAGAAAAAAACAAAGGAGAGAGGTAGGCAGAAAGTTAGATCAGAGGATCTTGAAGGAAAGCTGAGGTAGGGAAACTAACTAAAGCATTTTCAAGCATCACTTTTTCTTCAAGTTTTGCCTTTGTTTATTCAGGGTTTACAAGGACCACCTGGGAGTACAGGAGACAGGGGGCTTGCAGGAGAACCAGTAAGTCTATCTTTATACTTTTCTAATTGTGCTTTTCTCATAGTGTATATTTACCTTTCTGTTATTAATGCCCTGTTGTACTGTGGTTGATATATTTTTAAAAGCAGCATTTATCATGAGCAACTAATTATAAGAATGAATATTTTGCTGTGGATATAATTTTTAGTGCCTTCCTGGTTTCATGAAGTCATAGTTGGTCCCGTTTGTCTGGAACTGTTAAAACTACACATTTCTATTTTCAACAAAGATGCTTCTGTTTTACTGAATCTCAGAATTTTATTAATGGCTTGCTATTCATGTAATAATTCTTACACTGCTCCCCTAACCCCAGCACACACAATCACATTTGTGAGGGCAACTCTATAAAAAAAAAAATACAGAGAAGGCAAATCCTACAACTGATGGGCGAAAATGTTGAAACATGACAGAACTGCTGGTAGGTCAGTAATACAAAAACTTACATCATGATTTCTTAAATGTGACTCAATTATAGAGTTTCCATGGAAAATGAATTGTGACAATGAAATACCTTGTCACACATTCCTTCTCACAATATATTCTTTATTGCCTATGAAGTCATTCTTCTGGCCAAAAGTATCAGATGCAGTGTGCAGTAACATGCTTCTAAGGTTTACAGTACAGTATAGTCTTTCAAACTACTGGGTTGATCTTATCCATCAGTTGACACAAAAGTTTATAGGTGGCCTTTGCATAATTCATTTAGCTAGTAGCAAGTGGGAAATTCTCACAGTCAAAGAGCTGTTGTTTGACACAATATTGTAAAATGACTATCACTCAATAAAAAAGTGTTTAAAAAAAATAAAGAGCATCTCAAAGGTTAAAAAAAAGAGCTATTGTAACCAAACTGTGTTCATGTCTTCCTTTAGATATTAAATCTATGCATAACTTCCAAAGAATAAGATTTGCCTATATATATAATTTTTCTAAATACAGAATCTTAGATGTGGTGTTGATTTTATCAAACTAAATTCTTCTCAGTTTTATCCATTTTGTATCTTTTAACCTACCATCCCAATTCTAATATTTATTTGATAAAAAAAATGAGGCATCTCTAAATATCTTTGTTTCAAAAAGTCTGTAATTCCTTGAAGCCAGAGACCTTTTTTTTCACCTTTGCAATCCTCTTTTCTAGTATAATGTCTACCATATTATATCTACTTAATGCATATTTGTTAAACTGTATTAACCAAAGGTCATATACTCAAAGGTGTAATCATTGAGCAAGTAATATTAGATGAAGTGAAATAGAATTAAAACTAACCTGATCTTAATAGTGAACACATTTAAGTCAAGATAATTATGTCAACAGAACTATGACAACAGCAGAGACAATATCTTAGACTTCATACAAGAAAAGATTTGTAGTATAAATGACTGAGTGGCTTAACAGCACCTAAAATTGACATTCAGGTCAGAAGATCAGTGGGTCTGGTAAATAAAATATGAATCAATTTATAATGGGTATAATGGGCTTTGTTTCATATATTTGAGCTGCCTGGTCAAATCACTGAAAAGAACAGAAGTAACTTAGTAAAATAAAAGACACAGAAGAGATATTGAAACATATTTGTATTCTGAGAATAATTAAATAGGACTGTAGCCAACACCAATTAGAATTGTCCCTTTTTCCCAGACAAGATTCAAAACTGGTTTGCTCATTGCAATGCAAGTGCTGGGATTCGAGTAGTTGACCATTCATTCATTCAGTCAACAAACATTCATTAAGACTCTACACTTGGACTATAGTAGTAAGCATGGAGTTTTCAGTCTAACTATAGAAGTACACATTAATTAAATAATCACAGAGATGTGTGATAATTACAAACTGAGATACATGCTACAAAGTGTAGGAATTCAGTTCCTAGAGAATGTATAACAAAGAAGCTCTCCTAATCTGGGATTAGGGAAACTTCCAGAGGAGGAGCATTTGAGCTGTGATCTGAAGTTACTGAGGCAAATATTGGGAAAAGTTTTTCTAGGGAGAAGTCATGAGCTTGGGGAAAGCCCTACATATTTATCTGAAGATCTGAAAGAAGGCCATCATCGCTCTGGCACAGAGAGTCAGATGGGAAGGAAGTGCAAGATGAGGATGGAAGGGGAAGCAGGAGACAGACACATGTAGCCCTATTCCGAAGGATTTGTATTTTAATCCTAAGAATAAAGGGATGTCATTGAAGGGATAGGGCTACTTTTATGATCATATTATTGTTTTGTAAAGATCACTCAAACCAAATTGGAAGGGACCAAGAATGAATAAGAATGACCTTTTGTAACAATTGAGATAGCAGATAGAACTATTTTTGATTAGCAGAGGGAAAACGTGGATAGATAGAAAATATTCAAAAGGGGATAACATCAACAGGAGATAGGAATCACATTTCACATACAGAATTCCTAAGTTTATGGCTTGAAGAATTAATGAGGTAATGCTATCACTCACTGAAACTGAGAATATCAATAGAAATCTAGGCTGTTGAACAGAAGATTATTATAAGTCGGTTTAACTATGTTGAATTTGAGGTTCCTTTGAGAAATATGAAGAAGGCAGTTGGACACGGAGCTCTGAGCAGAAAAATATCCTGAATTGGAGTCATTGGTCTAGGGAGAGAGTATAGAAGTGAGGAAAGAAAAGAATCCAAGGCTGAGCTTTGAAGAAATTCAACAATGAGTAAGTGTTGGTAGAAGAGGATGAAACTACAGAGAAGACTGAAAGAGGTTAAGAGGAAAACCAGGTGTACAAGTTAGGAGCGCAGCCTTAACCATAGCCTGTCTGAAAATCTTCAAGGGAATCTTAGATTCCTTTGGAAGTATGGAAGCAAAAATATATATCCAGGTCAAACTATACGTATCATTGATATGCTAAAATAAGAGAGAAAATGGAACTTTTAAAATTAAAAGTCTTAATTTAAAAAAGAGTGGGATAAAAAAGAATGGAAGTCAAAAGAAAAAAGAAAGAAAGAAGGTAATAAATAGAAACAGTAAGGAATACGGTAAGCATGAACCCAGCTGTGTCAATAATCACTTAAATGTCAATATTCTCAATGCACCTGTTAAAAAATGAGACTGACAGAGTAGAAAGAAAAACAAGACTCAAGCAGAAAGAAACAAGATTAGTATGTTTTCTTCAAGGAATCCACTTTTAATATAAAGACACATATATTAAAAAATTAAGGAGTGGACAAAATGGACAAAGATATACTAACACTAACCAAAGGAAAACTGGAGCAGTTATATTAATTTCAGACAAAATAGACTTCAGATCAAGGATAATTATTAGGGATAAAAAGGGATGTATTACATAGTGATAAAGGTATCAGTTCTCCAGGAAGACATAATAATGCTTAATGTATATGCATCTAACAGCAGAGCATCAAATTATATGAGGCCAAAACTGATAGAACTCCAAGGATAAATAGACAACTTTACTATTTCATTTGAAGACTTCAGCATTCATCTGTCAGTAATTGAGGGATCCAGCAAGCAAATAATAAGATTATAGTTGAACTAAACACCATTAGAAAACTGGATCAAATTGACATTTATAAGCTACTTAATCCAATAACAGCATAATATACATTTTTCTCAAGCTCACATAGAATATTCATCAGGATAGATGGACCACATTCTGGGCTATAAAACACACCAAATTTCAAAGAAAATATACCACACAACATATGCTCTCAGTCCATGATGGAATTAAACTAGAAATCAATAATAGAAAATCTCAAAATATTTAGAGATTCAGCAACACACTTCTAAATAACACTGGATCAAAGAATAAGTCTTGAGAGAAATTTTAAAAATATTTTGAATTAAATGGAAAATGGAAATATAACTGACCAAACTTTGTGGTATGAGTAAAAGAAATGTCTAGAGGGGAATTTATAGTACTGAATGCATGTATTAGAAAAAAAGAAAGATCTAAAATCAATAATCTAAGGTTCTACCTTAGGAAACAGAAAGGGAAGGGAAAATTAAATACAAAGTAGGCAGAATAAAATAAATGATAAAAATCACAGCAGAAATATAAATTAAATTAAAAACAGGAAAATAATAGAGAAAAGTCAATGAAACAAAAACCTTGTTCTTTGAAAAGGTCAATAAAATTGGTCAAACCCTAGCCATACTCACCAAGAAAAAAAGAAGATACAAATTACTATTAGAAACGAAATAGGAGGCTTCACTATTAATCCCATGGACATTAAAAAGATAACAAAGGAATACTATGAATAACTCTATGCCCACAAATTTGATAACCTAGATGAAATGGACCAATTCCTTGAAAGACATAATCTACCAAAAGTTATACAAGGAAAAGTTGACAGTCTCAGTAGGTCTATATTGACTAAAGAAATTGTATCAATAATTGATAACATTCCAAAACAGAAAGCACTGGGCCTAGATGGTCTTGCTGGTGAATCCTACCAGGGATTTAAGGAACAAAATCATACCCGTTTTCTACAATCTATTCCAGAAAATAGAAACAGAAGGAACACTTGCTAGCTCATTTTATGAGGCCAGCATTACCCTAATACCAAAACCAGAGAACGCTATTACAAGAAAAGAAAACTACAGACCAGTATCTGTCATGAACATATATTCAACAAAATATTAACAAATCAAATCCTCTAATATATAAAAATAATTATACACCACCACCAACTGGGATATATCCCAGGTATGTAAGGCTGGTTCAGCATTCAAATATCAACAAAAATCCATCACTTCAATAGACTATAAAAGAAGTCATATAAAGTAGATGCAGAAAAATGAATTGACAAAATCCAATACCCATCCATGATTAAAAAAAACTCTCATCAAACACGGAATAAAGGGGAACTTCCTCAGCTTTATGAAGAACATGTATAAAAACCTTACAGCTAATACAGCTACGATTGTACTTATGTTGAGAGGTTAGATGATTTCCCCCTAAGAGGAGGGGAGCAAGGAAAGGATGTCCCTTTTTTGAAATTCCTTTT